CAGGAATGATCTTGTTGAGTTGCACAACTTTGCAGGATTTTATGGACATGCAGCAGCTCATGGGAGAAGAACAGGGTTGAAATCAAGAACAGACTTGTTCTCTTCATTCTCTTTTTCTTAGCAGAAAAGGGACTTTGTGCTTGTGTGCATATGTGTGTAGATAGAGCTCTCTCTCTCTCTCTCTCTCTCTCTCTCTCTCTCTCTCTCTCTCTCTCTCTCTCTCTCTCTGTGTGTGTGTGTGTGTGTGTGTGTGTGTGTGTGTGTGTGTGTGTGTGTGTTTAAGGGAGTACTTGAAATGTAAGATCCTCCAAAACAGAGGTCTCCATTCAAGTGGTGAGGATGAGGTGGTTGGTGGTCTCAAGAATGGAGATATGACCAAATGTGCTGCACCATTTTCATGCAAGCTCCTCCCTTTTTGTACATGTTGTGACATGTATGAAAGGAGCAGAACTTGAATTGCCAGGGCATGATGCTCATTTGGTCTTTGTGATAAAAATGTCAGATCCTGCTGATACTTCTACCCAGGAATAATTACGTGAAAGGATTATTGAGAGGGGTGAGATTTCTGTGCAATGGTTGTTTTGAATTCAATAGTTCAGGGACAAGCTGAGTATTTCAGAATGTTGGAACAAAAAATATTAGCTTTGCTGTGGTTTCAAATATACTACAGCTCAGTCAGAAACAAATTGTCTCTGTTCTCAAACTGTGCTGATTCTGTGCAATCCAGAACTGCTTTCAAACTTGTATGATTTCTGGGATTAAAGGTACTTCACATGCCTTATTGGGTCATTGTCAATCCCATTAATGGAAGAACAATTATACATTTGTGCAACAGTATTAATAATACTGCACTAATTAATAACACAGTATAGTTTCAATATTAATAATCATAAAATTCTGAAAAATGAAGCATAAACAAGAATTGGAAAACTTTCTCATTGTCAGGCCCAGAATGGACTTTCAGAAGTGGCATCCACACAGAGAACCAGTTGTTCACATATTTGAA